AAATAACAAAAATAAAAACAAAATACAAAAATAAAACAACAAAAAATAAAATAACAGCAAAAAGCTAAATAAAATAAAATAAAATAAACCAAAATTTAAAACCCAAACAATTATATAAAATAAAATAAAACAACAAAAAGCAAAAGCAAAATACAATATAAAACCAAAATATAAAAACTAATAAAAAATAACATAAAACAATAAAAAGCAAAATAAAGCAAAATAAAATAAAATACTAAATTATAAAAACTAATATAAAATAAAATAAAACAACAAAAAGCAAAATAAAGCGAAATTAAATAAAATATATAAACAAAATAAAAAACTAATATAAAATAAAATAAAACAATAAAAAAGTGAAATAAAATAAAATAAAATACAAAAACCAAATCAATTAAAAATCAAAAACAACAAAAAAATATAATAAAATAAACCAAAAAAAAAAAAAAAAAAAAACAACAATAAAACACTAAGCATGTCGAACAGTTAAACTTAGGAAAAATATCACACATAAAAACTAAAACAAATATCCACCTGAGCATCAAAGCTTCAATGCAAAAATGTTAAAAACACAAAGACGTGTGCGAAAGACAGTAAAAGCACGTCTAAGAGGTCAGTGATAGTGCAGCTCCTCACCTGAGGCAAACAAACCCTGCAGTGCTGTTTTCCTTCTGTAGTTTCCTGATATTATTGATCTCAGCGAACACCTCAGGGAACGAGGACTAGATCTGATTAATGTGTGTGTGACTGTGTTTAACACTCGTCTACAGACTCCACACTCCTATAATCACATAATCACACCCACAGCGTCACTCTCACACACACACACACACACCATTTACTGACAGCGTCATCCGTTTCACTGAACAAATACACTGAAAATACTGATGCACTGGATTTACTACATTTTTTTAAGGTAAATTTATATGAGCAGCATTTAAACACACAAATTAAATGTTACACACACACACACACACACGTACACATAAACGTGTACAAACACACACACACACACAAACATGTACACACACAAGCAGACACATGCACAATTGCACATACATGCATACAGGAACACACACACATATGGTTAACACACACGTGTACATATGCATGTACAGACACAAACACACGCACACATGTACACACGCAAACATGTACACACACAAGCAGACACATGCACATACATGCATACAGAAACACACACACATATGGTTAACACACACATACTGTACACACATGCATGCACCGCCACAAACATGCACACACACACACGCTTGCATGTACAAAAACCCCATAAACATGCACACATATGACACACACATACGTACACAAACATGTACACACACAAGCATACAGAAACACGCACATTAACACACGCTTATACACATGCATGTACAAACACATGCACACAAACACACACGCGCATATATACAGACACGTGCAAAACACACGCATACACCAGCAGAAACACGCGCACACATGAAAACACGCATACACAGACACACACATGTATACACACGCACAAACACTAACACACAAGCAGACACATGCACATACACACAGTATCACGTGTATACGGTTAACACACACACACACACACACACATTTACACAACACACACAAACGTACAGACACATTCAAATGTGCACACACATGTATGTGCACGTACAAACACACACACACACACACACACACACACACACACACACACACACACACACACACACACACACACACACACACACACACACACACACACACACACACATTTGCATGTAATAAAACCACAAACATGCACGCACATGAACGCACACATCATTCATTCATTTTCCTTCGGCTTAGTCCCTTATTCATCAGCGGTCACCACAGCGGAATGAACCGCCAACTATTCCAGCAGATGTTTAACACAGCATATGCTCTTCACTACGGCCGATTTAGTTCATCAATTCCCTTACAGCGCATGTGTTTTTAGTGTATTTAGTCGCTCCTCGAAATGAAACGGAGACAAGTTACACTGAACTCTAGTCCAACACACACACACACACACACACACACACACACAAACCCTCTCATTATTCAGAGACCGAAATATCTGAATCCACCCATTCAAGCCCTTAAACACAACCAAACAAACATCTTTATAGAGCTGTCAGAGAGATTTTACCATGGTCCCATATCGGCAGTGCAAAGAAGACAACACAAAACACACACAAACAATTTAAACTTGATAATAAAATACGCTCATTTGGATTATAAAAATAAACAAATAAATAAAATAATTAATTTGCCTGAGATAGATTTAATAAATGCATTAAATTAAAGTACATTAATCCTAAATATAAAATAATATTCATTTGCATTATTAAATAAATAAATTAAATGCATATATTTCCCTAAGATACATTTAATAAATGCATTAAATCAAAACCCTATAAACTCATAACATTCATTTGCAATAATAAATAAATAAATAAATAAAATTATTAATTTGCCAAAGATTGGTTTAATAAATACATTAAATTAAAATACTTTTAAATATAACATAACACTTATGTGCATTATTAAATAAATAAACTATTTTAAAGGGCATTTTTGTTTGCCTGAGATAGATTTAATAAATGCATTAAATTAAAACCCTTTAAACATTCATTTGCAATAATAAATAAATAAATAAATAAATAATTTGCCTAAGATTGATAATGATAATGCAGTAAATTAAAATACTTTAAAAATATATATAAAATAACTAATAAATAAATAAAATGTATGTATGATTCATTTAATTAATGCATTAAATTTAAATAATTTAAACTTAAACATAAAATATCATTAATTTGCCTTAATACATACATAAATAAAACACATTGCCAAAGATGGAAGTTCATTCAATCATATTAATAATTAATCAAATTAAAAGTAATTATCAATAATAATTTCCCATAATTTCCTATTAAAGTCCTATTTTTACATATATTACAGCTAAATAAATAATTAAATGTATATATGTTTAATTGGAAAAAAAAGAGAATTAATGTCTCAGACTTAATACATACATAAATAAAGGTAAAAATCAAATTTATATAAAATTTAAATAAAATAATATTCAATATAAATTTTAATAGAATTCTATTTAATTCAATAAATTAATAAAATATTTAATTAATAATTATAATTAATTATAATAATAATTTCTTACATTTATATAGCACTTTTCTGGGCACTTAAAGCGCTTTACACAATGGCAGCATCCACCTGGATGATGGGACGACAGCCTTTTTGCGCCAGACCGCACACCACACATCAGTTGATTGGTGGAGAGGAGACAAGAGTGATGAAGCCAGTTATAATATGGGTAAGGTTAGGAGGCCATGATGGACAGAGGCCAGTGGGCGGATTTGATCAGGATGCCGGGGTCCTCTACTCTTTTCGGAGGACATCCTGGGATTTTTAACGACCACAGAGAGTCGGGACCTCGGTTTAACGTCTCATCTAAAGACAACGCTCGCTGAGCAGTATAGAGTCCCCGTCACTATACTGGGGCATTAGGACTCACACACAGACCGCAGGTTGAGCGCCCCCTGCTGGCCTCACTAACACCACTTCCAGCAGCAACCTAGTTTTCCCATGTGGTCTCCCATCCAGGTACTGACCGGGCGCAGCCCTGCTTAGCTTCAGTGGGCGACCATGTGAGAGTTACAAAGAGCTAGCTGCTGGCAAATTTAATTGAAATAAAAAGTAAAATTAAACGAACAATTACATTAGAAATTAAATTAAAAATTAAAAAATTAAATTAAAACAAATTAACATTTAAATAAATTAAATTAAATACAATTAAATTAAATACACAAATTAAATCAAAATCAGATTTAAAAATATATAAATAAATAAAAATAAAAATAAAAATAAAAATTGAAATAGAATAAAATAAAGTAAAATAAAATAAAATAAAATAATAAAATAAAGCTCAGTGCAATTGACAAGCAGGGTGGCATTCAAAGTTTATTCCCACCAGTGCTGGAAGTAATATTAAGCAGCAGCAGCAGCTCTCGTAAAGCTTCTCCA